GGTTTGAGTCTTCAGCTCGATGGGCTCCCCGCGGGTCTCCTGCTGGTTCTCGTCCTCTGGGGATCGGCTGCCCTTGAGAGTGGCTAGCCGCTCGGAGAGACCCCGCATACGGGGAAACAGCATGAAATCATACAGGATGGCACCCATAGCGCCACCAATCATAGGTCCCACCCAGTACACCTGTCAGAAAAAGAGGGTCACTAAATACTCAATCTCTTTTTGTCACTAAATACTTTATTCCTGTAGTGCGGGACAGTTTCAGTACTTTACTTGCGTTTCTTACCCAGTGGTTGATGAAATTCCTCGTGATGACAGCAGGAGCGAAAGATCTAGCTGGGTTCATGCCAGCTCCAGTGTAGTACATCTGATTCAAAGACAAACAAGGTACATTTTTGGTGTACTGCACACTTAAAATACTCACAAATGTTTATTCTAATACTAAAATATTCATTCTCACCCCCATCAGGTGGCCCATGGTGATAAAGAAGCCAATAGACAGAGCGGCAGAACCCAGACGGCCGTTTCGTCTCTCATCTGTCACGGCGAAAACGCAAACCACCAACTGCAAGGTAAGAAACACCTCCACTGTAGTCGCCATGCCGAGACTCATGCCGGGCTGCAGCTGCAGAGACATAAAATACAAAAAAATTAATTAAAAAAAGATTTAAAAGCCTGCAACATAGATATACAGTTCTGTAAGGGCCTATTAGCGCAGTACTGTGTACTTCTATAGTTCTATATACAATATGAATACAATAAATACGATTTCAATACAAAAAATGTATTAGATAAATAGATTTTCCATTAAAACACATTTGTACTCTTGTAAACTCAAAATTAAATTAAATTAAATTTAAAATAAATAAAATATATTTTTATTACAAAATAAAATAAAATTCTTGTTTTTTGCGTCACTCTTACCGTGTTAAGTGCCAGTGTGCCTCTCATGTTGTTGGGTGTAACTCCATAAAGGGCCGCGGCTCCTGCCATGGCCCCCAGGCACTGAGCGCAGATGTAGAAGAAAGCTCGG